CGAGCCGGGGTGAGGGGTGTGGGGGGGGCGGCTCTGTCTGTGCCCGGCCTCCCCGCCCAGAGAGGGAGTGACTGTCCCAGCTCAGGGAGCGCCGCCGCCTCCCCACCCCCCAGCGTGTCTCAGGGCTCTACCCCACGTGACGTCACGACGGGGTGGAGGAGTGGAGGCGTGTACGCGTCCTGAGGCCACTGCGTCCGCTCAGGACTCTGGGTGGGAGCGGACACGCGGGGGGTAGGGGAGGAGGGGGCTGGGGTCTGTGCGCGCAGGCACAGGGAGGTGCCAGTATTCCGGATGTGCTGGTTTGTGTTGGAAGGTGTGTGTTACTGGGAGGTGTGGGTGCCTGGCTGAGACACAGCTGCTGGGGAGCGGTCCCCCCCAATACACACACCTGCAAGGGCTGGAAGGGGAAGGGCTGGCCCCTCTGCTCGCCTCCCCCACTTCAGGGGGGACTTCCCAGGCTTGGCTGTCGAGGCAGGTGTAGGATTCTGCAAAGAGGGGTTTGGCAGCTTCTGGATCTTGCTCTCCTTCGCCGTGTGACCTTAAACAGGTGCCTGCTGCTAACTGAGGCACCCTTTGCTCCTTTGTGAAATGAGGTTAATGAGGCCCCCCTCATCTAGTCACCTCCTCCAGCCAATGAAGATAAAATGGCTGGGACTCCAGTAGTAAATGCTTGTCTGGGCGCAGAGCACCCAGGAGTGGCACACCCTGGGAGGGGTGGGGTTAGAGAGCCTTTTAATCCTAAAGGTGTGCTTCAAGGGCACCTTATTTCACCCTCATTTATTCACAAGAAGATATGTAGGTTCAGAGAGGGTCGTGACTTACTCAAGGTCACACAGCAAGGAGGTGGAAGAGTTGGAACTAACACCAGTTCGCTTGATCCTGAGCACAGCAGCAACTGCCCCAACACTGAGTACTGCTTGCCCTGGCCCTGCACCTGTAGGTCCTCTGGGAGCTGCCCAACACCAGCTTCCTGCCTCAGGCCCACTCCTCTCTGGGATCCCTTCCTGTCCTCTCTCTGTAGCTGAACGCTGGGCTCACCTCAATATAGGCAAGCGCCCGAGAGCCAGAGGGTTGGGATAGAGGCTTCAGCGTCTGATTCTGGTTCTAATCTGTGCCCTGATAGTGAATCCTACTCCCACTGAGGCCTTAGCATCCTCCTCTCTAAAATGGGCACAAGCCTCCCACTCTATATACACACCTCCCTGCCAACCTCACCGCCCTCTCTCTCTGAAGAGAGCCCCTACTGGTTTAAGGACAAACTACCGAACCTCTGGCCTCAGAGACAAAAGGGGCCCTTTCCTGGAATTGGCCCACCCTGGGGAATTGGCTGAGAGGGGTGGTGCCTTCTCTGTCCCTGTGCTGTCAGGTGGCTGAGGCAGCCTGAGCAACAGCAGGATGATGGCCTACTCCCCCCTTCTTCCCCCATCTCTGCCTGCAGCCACCGCAGCTGTCAGGAATTAAGGACTTGAGGCTGTGGGGGATGGGGGTGGCAAGGAGG